AAATACGTTTTTAACCAATGTTCTTATAACATTTTATAAATAATATATTATAATATCAAATAACTGTCTAAATGTCTACAAAATTCATTTAAGAAAAATAATAAACTTCAACTCCATAAAAAACCTCCAGAAATATTTTTCGTTCAATATCCTTCCCTCAAATCCTGCATTTATGAAAAACAATATAATGAAGACAAACCCCATGCTAGGGCTTAAAGTAAGCGCGCATTTAATTGCAAAAGGTATTCGTTTTCCGACAGTTTAAATTATTTTTAGGGGATGAAAAGATATTTTATGACGTCTGATGAATAATCGTTTGGATGTGGTTTGAAATATATACATTTTTTTTATTGAAAACAACACGTGGGACTCGGCGGGCAAATGTAATGAGTACAAAATGAAAAAAAAAGATAAAACTGATTGGTGTATATTAATATTTATGAAATGGCAATATAAGGGCTTGGTATTTTGAGTTTATATAAAGCAATGTTAGATATATTTAAGCACTATTATGTATATATTAAGAGCGAAGATTGTTTTTATATACAATAATACATAATATTGTTTGTTTTAGATTGATTTTAGCAGATCTGCTTAATTAAAAAATGTCACCTAAAATAAATAAAAAAAATTGAATTTTTATCCCAAAATGAACTTTTGCGACCTTTTATATTCAATGGACTTCATTATAGAAAAAAAAATCTTTAAAATTATTCGTGTACGCAATAATCTATATTTAGATAAAAAGGTCCATATAAAAAAATCATTATTTTGCTTCACAATGCTATAACCATTGTACACATTGCTTTTATATTCTGAAAACAATCTTCGAACAAAATCTTAATTCAAAAATATAAATTAAAGACCCTTACGGAATAACAATGCCGCAAACGGAAATATTTCTATAAACCTTTTTATTACGTCACAAAAGAATTTTAATACAAGAATGAGCTTTCTGCAAATCTTTTTGCTGAACAAAAAATATAATGGTAAATATATCAGATTTATACCTATCGAACTCAGGATTTATTTTATGTTTGTTGAATCAGGTATTGCTTTCATTTATACTATATCTTTCGGATGTTTTTTATTATATTTATTACTTAATTTCCATTAAGAAATGACTATTATATATAATATTGTTATGATATGATATTTAATGTTATTTTGTCGACTTTGAACATCTGCAAATAAAAATCGTTTTTCACTTATAGCAAACATAATATTCCAATTATCAATATATAACTGATAATATAGAAACACTATAAGAAAAATAATTTCAGATTTTTGTGGTACTATGCGTTCAAAATTTCCAAATGAAAGAACGTCGTTTAAAAAAATGCACTGAAGTGTGTTAGCAAATTTCAGCGAAAGTTGGCGCATTCAATTAGGACTGTAAAATTGTGCTATACTTGATAATTTTATTATTGGAAATTTTCGAGTAAAAATAAATTCTTGAAAATATTCAAATTTTATAAGGACAGTTAAGGTTAATACTAACATCCCGTTTTAGCTTGACTTTAAGTTCTGGGGTACTTTGTGTTAATTTATTATATTATATATAAAACATTAAAATTTTAATTCTTTTAGTTCAAATTTCTTTTGTTCAATAGAATAAATAATAAAAACTGTTGTGTCTACTTATCCAACACTTGACGCAATTTTGAAAATTAAATGCTAAAATTATCAACAATGCAAATTTTGCCATTTTTTAACATTTTATAACAAAAAAAAACGGTTTTTATTTTAATAAAATAGTAGACCCAGTTGTTATTGAACTATTATTAACTATACTGTTTTATGTATTATATAAAACTGAAGTTCCTAACTTTTTATACGAGAAATGAATGCTCTGAAGACATCCCAATACATCATTCATAAAATAATTAAAATGCCAGAAACATATTTGGTATGTGATTCTGGTATTTATATTTTTTCTGTTTTAGCAAATTTAATATACTTACTTAATAACTAACATACCAACGAAATTAAATTGTTTCATTTTTTGGAATTTTTCTTCAAATAATTTTATGAATTGCTTATTTAATATTTATTGAGGAAAAAGAAAGCTTTATCAACTCTCCTGATAAAAATAAAAATAACTTAATCATTATTTATAAGAAATTATTTAATAAGTAAATAGTTAAAATTATATAATTATCAATAAAATATTGTGAATTTTATATCGAATTTGTTGTCAGAATCAGAAATCAGAAGTTGTTTTTTTCAACATGCCCATGTAGTATACAATGTCCCTTTTCGGCCGACTATTGTAAATTCATCAAATTTATTGAATGTCCTTTACTGGACAGCTGTAAATAAAAGAGAAAATATAATAATTGAATGAATGAGTTATTTTTAGTAGTAATATTATATATTTAAGTGTGTAAGTATGTAAAGTATTATACATACAAGTATATATCTCTAGATATTAACATAAATTACACGCCTAGATTTTTCGACTTAGAATTATTACTACAATCAGGATTTGATCTAGAGATGTCTAGTGATTCGATAAACAAATTGCAGCCCTACGGATAAAAATGCATAAAAACAACATATAATTTACCGTAGTTATTTTCACTATGAACGATACCGAAAGTACTTAAATAAAATTGAGCTTATGGAGAAATAATCGTTTTATTGTAGCCATATTGTAGATTGTGTATCTTTGGCGCCAGCTTAGAGTAATCTAATTTTATTTGATGTTTAAAATGTTAAAGATGATCGTAATAAGCTAATGGCGGCGATTTAAAACTTCCAAGCCCCGCAATTTTGGCTCGGGTACGATTTTTCAAAATGAATATCTTGATCGAAATTGTTAATGTAATCATAATATTACTTTAACCCTCTCCACTCGAATGCCTCCGCTCGGGCGATAAAATACATATAATACCTGCATTTCGCGAGTGGAAAGGGTTAGATAGAGCTTGAAAACGTGTATCAAGTGACAATAAAAATTTTTTAATAACAATTCTCGCATTGTATGTACTAATATAACTATAAAAACTGTACACGATACATAACTATAGATTTTACAAAAAAAACTAAAATTTACAAAATAAATAGTCGAAAATATTAAAGGTTTCGTCAAAAATTGGAGATTTAATAGGACCATAATTTTATTTAATTTGTTTTGATTTGGTATGATAAATACAATTAGTTGAATATAAAAGCTATTACTTCAGCACCAAATCTCATTTTTTACAGATTTTTTTTAAATATAGGTATACACAATAATTTTATCAGCATCAACAGCGTTTAAAACAAAGCTCTTTTTTATGCAAATAAATTGCTCTTTTTACGAGACACACATTTTGATGAAATATAAAAAGCTAACATGGAGAATAAATATGCATACATTAGATTTGCCTGTGCCATAATATAAAATTACATATTTTGAAAAGTCATGTAAAGTAAAATAGTACTCCAGAAAATAAGAATATAAAATTATGTCTCTGAAAATTTAGTTCATATCTTTGCCTTTCCTGAAAATTGCTTCATTAAATAAAAAATATACGATCAGTATTAGAGAATTTCTAATAATAAAAATGTATTAAAGAAACTTAGGTCAACTGTTAGGTTGCTTTCTAAAAAGACAAAAATTTCTTAGAAAGCAACTGATTGTTGTAAAAAATATGAGAATAAAAGAAACTTAATAGCAGATGGCAGATAAATTAGTAGTAGAACGATACAAAAATAGTGAGAGAACTCTTCCATAAATAATTTCTTTATTCAATTTTACGTTTGTGCTTACAACGCATTTATTATTGTTTTGATATGACTTGATTTCGCAAATTGGGCGAATTAAAATTCAATACTTTGTAATTCAACGATGATTTTATTAGATACCGATATATTTGATACACTTTTTTGTTTATGTATTAAAAAACATGACACACTTAATCTAAATTGGAGCTAATTTGCTGCAATTAACGCTTTTTACTCGCGAATTCCGAGATTTATATGAATTCGGCGGCATTCGAGTGGAAAGGGTTGAGTCCCATTTTAATTATATCTATAATCTTTTGATGCAATTCATAAATACCTCAATATTCCAAAAATTTCTCCATTAAATAAAAAGATAGCTTCTACTAAAAAAATTTTTCAAAAAAACTTAGGTAAGCTGTTGGTTGCCTTCAAAAAAAGTAGCTAAATATGAAATTTCAGCAATTTTTTTTAGAGAATTTCTAATCGCTGTAAAAATATGACAATCAAAGAAACATAATAGTAGATGGTAGAAGAATTAGTGCAAGTGTTTTTTCTATGCAATGCATAAATAGTTCATCATGTCATCTAAACAAAGCCTGCATTATAGTCCTGATTCAATTTTGTTACTAGATGTTGAGGCAGAATAAACACGTTTCTAAACGTTAGATTTCATTCAAATGTAGGTTAAAATCCCTTAAGAAATAGCAAGCAATTCAGTAGCACATGTGTATTTTCTACTTTTTGCTTGTTGAACCAGGAGAAAGCTCTCTTGTTCGCGATACAAATGTATGTATAATATGCGAAAGCTCCAGGATAACAAGCATTTGTTTCGTTAAGCGGAAAGCTATGTGCTTTTCTTAACTCGAAATTGTTGTTTGTATTACATTCATTCGAAACTTAAACAAACATTGCAAAATCTTCCCAAAGCACGTTTTCAATTTCGAATTGTTTGATAAAAACATGCTCTGCCCTTTTAACCATTAATATGCATTTCCATTTTTTTCGATCTAAAGGTGTAAGCAATCATCATGTGTTGAGGTTAGATAAATACGAAGAAAGAGAAAAATTAATTAGATAAAACATTTAGTTAAGTAAATAAAAGTAAACGGTTGAAATTATATTTTTGGATTCATCTGATAATAATACATATCACTTGGTGAAAAACTTGGACACACATAAAATAATGATTAAAATTGGTATTAATTTTTTAGTAATTAAAAATGAAATATAAGCTAACTAATTATATTAAAGTTTCGTAAAACAATATTTAGAAAGCAAGATAAACTAACCTTTTTAAGATCTTTATTCGGTTCTCCATCGTCAGCTTTCCTTTTTTCGCTCGGGATAAGTTTTGAAGATTTTTCTTTATCACCCAATAAAACCTGCAACAATAATAAAATATAACGTTTTTGTCACATAATATAAATTCGAAATTTTAAATTATAGAATATTTGCTTTAACAGGTGAAAATTAAATCTTTTTCACAAATTAAAACAAACAAAATCCCTTATGTCGCTAATTGGATTAATCAAAGAATACGGGCTTTCAAAAGCGTTACAAAGAAAATTATTTCAAAGATATTTTTTTAAATCTATCTGCATTTTACACAAAAAGAAACTGATCGTATTGAGGTATATTGATTGATAGAAGTCTTTTTACAATAATTGTCGAGAATACAGATTCGATAGACAAACGGCTCAATTATAAATTGAAAGAAAAAAGTTCTTTGAAGAATTAGAAGAACAATTAAAATACTTAGTGAACTTCTAGTCACTGTAAAATTTATTGCAATTAATAATAAAGTAGATAATGTAGTCTAACTTAAATTGATTAAAACTGATTGAATTAAAAAAATAAGTTATTTTCTAGAAACTAAAATTCTGAAAGCATTTCAAATTACGAGGTATTTATAAGTATCTATTAAAATATAATTATAATTATTGAACTATTGTATAATGATTTTCAAATCTTACAAAAAAATATTTGTATGAACAACAAAATTAATATAATATTAGCATACTATTTTTTTCAGTTCCATTTCTGGATATTATTATAACAATTTTCAAATGATTAATTTAGTTCAATCTTGCATAAAAATATTTTTATAACCAACAAAATTAATGAATTACTACCATAATATTTTATCCCATTTCCATTCCTGGAAATTATTCAATATTGATATTACAAAATATATAATTAATCCACCCCCTATTAATAATTGTTTAAAAATAACTGATTATTTAACACACCAAATAGAAGAGCAGATTATTACTATTTGCTCATTAGTATTATGAGGAATGAGTTTCAGTACAAAATTTACTTAGTGTATGTTTGTAGAAGAGAAACATCGAATAGGTGTATTTATTTCGAATTCATTACATTATTGTATAAATATCTGAATTATTATACAAATTGACTTTTTGTTAATACAAGAGATGCAGTAGATATAAGGCATATATTCGATAATAAAAAATATGTTCCTCGAATTTAAATTAAATGGTCACGATAAGATAATTAATTTTGACTGATTATTAACGTTATTTTATTTGATTAAGCTAGTATTAATTTGAATAAGTTAGTATTTTAGTTTACATCATCAATAAATATAATAGAAATCATTTGAGAAATTTTGAAATAAGCAAAAAAACGTTTTCTGATATGATTCATTTATTTATACCAAACATAGACGTCTTATTGTATATTGATAAAGTACTAATAAAAAATAATGTCGAATTATTGACTTTTAACCAAATTTTTAATATTTTACAAATCAATAGTATTAAAATAAGAAAAGATATTGTGTTTTGTTTTTCAGTTTTGTAAATAGCAACACTGGTTCTAATGCTTTAAGTTTGTTCTAGAATACTTCGTTCAAGGACCTAGATTTTACGAAAAATCAATTTGATTTAAATAATAATCTACAAAGAAGTATGGCAAGCACAATAAAATATAAATTTATCTTAGTCCCTGAATTTGTGAAATTTTAGTACATAATAACAGTAAGGGTCCACTTTGAATTTCATAAGGTATACTTTTGTGTAGGTACTAACCAAAACAATACTTACCATAACAAAAGTATTTTGTCCTAATATTTTTGTCGCGAAAGTTCAAGGACACTACATTATCGTATAAATATCATGACAAAGCTCTTTATATAAATGTAACTTTATATATATTCAGTTCAGAAGTGCGAGATATTAGTATATCTACAGACTGAGCGAAATACGATCCTTTTAGTGGAAAAGGCGCGTGCCTTGTTTTGAATTTGACAGATATTTTGTGAATGTGTATATATTTCATTCTTTATTTTTTGCTTTATCAGGAATACGAGCTGTTTGCCCTTTTGCGTAACACATGAAGACGTCTAAGAGTGAATCTTGCTGAATCACGTAAAGATTTTGACTTGTCAGAAATTATATACATGGGCGAATGAAGCAACTGAAAAAATCGTAAATGTATTCAAACAAAGTTTAGGAAAATATTTTGTTATTAGGATTGATCTAATAGTGATGATATCTATTTTGATGTACCAATTGTCTACATTTTCAAGTAAAAACTGAGGTCACTACAGTCGCAAAACATGATGTATAAAAGATCTAGAAAAATTTAGTCGTCACAATATGTCATGTTTACCCAGCTATCCATTTCCGGCTGAAAAAGGGGCGTCAACATGAGGACTCCATGCCAAGTCATTAATATGCTTATCGTACGCGCATTTATCTCTATATAAAAATCAGGAATCGAAGCATAATAAGTAAATTTGAGCCAAATGTTTAGCATCCTAAAACTATAAATAGTTTGGCTTGCTTCGTCGTATACAATAGAATACCGAAACGCAGCTGCTCCAAGTTGTCACAAATCTTAAGATAGAGACCCTGGCATCATGATTATGGCATCATTCCTTTTAATCTGAACATAATTGGTGAACTATAATTTATGAAGACAACCGGGAACAGAATTAAATTTCGATCGTAGAGGAAATACTAGCAAGAGATTTATCAAGGAAAATGCTTGGGCTAAAAATTTTTGCTCTAAAATTTTTATAAGTTCTAACTCGTCTAGTAAAAATTTGCTGAATGTAAATGCTATCCCGCATATTTATATAAATTCATATCAAAAATCATATTGAACATCAATCAGAGGTCTCGGGTTCGATTCCACTTCGAACAGCGGGTTGTCAAGCAGTTTTGACAATAATTTTCACTTGGAAATATAGATAGCAATTTGTTTTTAAGTGAGAATAGCACTCATCCGGCATTGTACCAATAAAATTATTCGCCATATCACAGGAATGATAATAATAATATATCATATATAGATGTAACACTATAGGTAATCATTCTCATGCTTGCTTCTTCAAAAGTTAAATTTTAACAAAAAAAAATTCGAAAAGGAACCTAATGGACTTAAATATTAAAATTAAAAAAAGCTATTTGGCGATCAAATATGATCATTAGACACATGCACAACTTTTTTTTGGTTGACCTTGTAATCTGGTACATTGGCCCACAAATTATCAGATATTTTGTATGCGGAATATTCTAGCGCCAGTCAATACAACTTGGCACAATTTATCTCATTGTTACGCCTTAACTGTATTTTTAATCATTTATCAGTCTAGACATATAAAGCTAAATCGTGTATGCGAAAATGGCATCAATCTTACTAAATTATCTTAACGATTTCAGTAGTAAAAATGGCACAAAAAACGCGTCATTTTAATCTTCATCGCATGACATCATTTTCGACGATAAACATAGTTTTTTATAGGCTCGCGAGGAATTTAAATGCAAAAGAATAATTACAGCTATCCTAGTTGTACTTTGGATAAAGTAGTATTCCATTTCACCACATGTGTTTTTAGGCATTTCAACGTCGAGAATAATACTTCACAATTAGCTTGTTGGCACTGTTAGTTAAATGTCAACGCAGATTTATATCCAGACATTAATATCGGTTAAATGAATAGCTAAGACAAAGTTGAATTGCATGTTATTTAGACTGTGGAAAAACTGATATCAGGTATTCAGTGATGGAAGCAGAATTTTTTTATGGTTGATGAAATTCGATCGATACTGATTTATTATTATTTATATAATATGTACATAGATTATTTAAAATAATTTTTAATATTTTTTATAATAAGGTCATTTTACCTAACTAACATTGCCTTGCAAAATCGAGTGATACTAAAATAAAAAGATGAAAAATCATGATTATCAATTTTGACACAAGCGTCATAGATATTATTTATTATATTCATAGATAGATAGATAGAAATAAAGAAACATTTTTTGTTAAAGCTGCTTTGATGTTATGAAATCAATACTATAGAGTAGGACATGTAATAAAGGTCCACCTTGACTTTCAATAAATATACTGTATGAACCAAATGAACTACAACACAACACATAACATTTATCGTATTATGTTCAGTAAAATTACTAGTTAATTTCTAATTATAGAAATGTGTTCTAATACTATTTTTCTAAAATTTGTCATCTGTCCTTTTTCACCCCATAGGCGGGATATAATTATATAGCCAGGAAGCAAACAAAACAAATGTCTCGTTCTTAATTTTAAAGTAATTTTGCGAAATAATAGCTACATTGTTCAACTAATGCATATAACCTTTATCTGATATTTTGTCAGAAATATTTATCAGCAGAGTTGTAATAACTATTTAATTAATTTATCTCTTGCAAAATAGCTTTTTACTCAATTTACTTTTTTTCTTACCTTTGTTTTTACGCCTTTGCCAGAATAGAGGTTAAGTTAGTGCATTTTACCACAACCACATGTAAGCTTTCATAGAAAATAAAACTGTTGAGTCTAACTCAAAATTAGCAGCAAATCTTAAAAAAAACAATCAAATAACTTTTACTATACCCCAATTTTATTATTTGCTCATGACCACAAAACTAACAACAAAAGAAAATACTGTCGTTATTGATTTTCAAATATTGCCGCTTTTCTACTGATAGCAACGTGGTAAAAATCAAGGTGGTGGTTAGTTATAAATCTTTTCCTTTCTACTTTAAATTCTTTTATTGATATTATATTTTCATATCTCAGTCAGACAGAGGTGTTTGGTACGAAAGATTATAAAACAATTTTCATATTTTATATATATTACACATTAATATAAGATTTATTATATATTAAATATGTTTAAATATCTATTCAATCTTTTTCGTCTTCAATTTCTTCATAATATTTCTTTATTTTCTTGTTGAAGTTATTGTCATCACTGGTATGCTTAATATCGATTGGCAGTTCATTATATATTTTACTTGCGCCCCATAACACATTTCCTCTTAATTTCTTCGTTCTATTATGTTCAATGTGAAAATTTTCGTGTTTTCTAGTTTGTGTTCATGTA